CGAAAAACGTAATGTTGCACGATCTACATTTGCGTAATATTTTCATAATATTCGTTTTTTCAAATATTTCTAAAATTTGAAAAAACAAGCAAAGCAATTGACTGTTTTTATCTATTATAGAGCAACCACGTAATTATGGATTTTCTAAATGATTCGTCGCAAGAAATGAAAAATGAGATCGAATTCTTAGAGACTTTCAAAGAGTTTGGTACACAAATTCGCTACACTCGATTAAGGAATTTTTTTCTAAAATTTTGCATTTTATTATCAAAAATGTTTAAAAATAAACCGCAACATCGATATCGATTTATTATTAATTATTTTTTTTTTTTAGGATCCAAAGTATCGATGTCGAATTTTTATTGAATCTCAAGTGGAACAGGTCAACGTTATTCGCGTGCATCCATTCTCGTTACGTCATTGGAGAGACGAGAGAAGCAGAGAATAAGGATATTTACGCTCGCGTTTCAATTGGCGCAAGAATGGCGGCGAGGGCGGAATTTACAGCTCATCAGGGAAATAAAAACGAACGATACTTGATTTCATCGCTGCCGTGTTTCCGCTGTTAATCATAATGAACAGGCGCATCGGCGTTAAATTGCGAGAAATCAACGAAGCTTAATACGCTTCCTTTCTATGCGAATTACGGAGGATGCTTTGAAAAACATCCTATGATTAACATTGTTGAAACTTTGCTTGTAAACGTCTCGGGTCGAGATATCTGCGAGAAAGTGCGGAATCCAATGTTCGAATCTCGGGAAAAAATTGATGAAGTTTTTTACTTTCCTTTCTTGGAAAAAAAGATTATTCAAAACTCGAAATTTCTATTGTATCGATTGTAAAGTCATTCTTACTTGTCTCTCGTTATAATAAGTCATTCTTTTTAATCGCCTTGGAAATTTTTCAACTTTTTATGATCTCTATCGCAATCTGATTCTTTATTATAAAATATATAATATTGCAATTTGAATTTTAAAGCGAATGAAGATTGTTAAATGAGCGTGATATGTACGAAAGTTGGGCAGACAATTATTCAACTAGAATTTTTTTTTTTTTTTTCCCCCATCCATATAAACGTTTCTACTATCCTATTTACCAGACCGTGAATCCAATTTCTACAACTATATTAATCATTTTTTGAAATGTTGATATTTTTATCAAATTAATCAAAATATTTTGTAATTGTTGTTTAATTTATATTGTATTTTAACGAGATATATTTTAACGAAAATTCTTCTCAAAATATTTTCGAATGAAAGGATTTATAAGAAAACCAGAAAAAAAAAAAAAAATCTAAAATTGTTTCGAAAAAATAATACTTTAAGCCGCAATATCAGGCAAACATGAAAGAAGAAAAATTCCAACAAATCGTTTAATTGATTCAATATTATTACGATATCGCGTGCATGATATTTTTTTTTTATTCAGCAACGTGAAATTTATGTTACGAATCGTCGAGTTAATATTGGCTTTAAGTATCATGTAATAACGTGTCGAAATTAAATGCATCGATAAAGAAAAATAATATAATAAAAATTTTCACACGCTGCAAATCTCATGCCATATTTAATAGCGATATGAATCTTTCGACGAGAATTCCCACTGTTACGATACATTTCTTATAACAAAAATTGGAAAGATGGATAAAAACGAAAAATTTTTTTCCATTCCGATTTTTTTATCATCCTGACTTAGAAACACGCATAAACGTTTAACAAATTATAGAGATTTGACATCGTGTCTTTCGTGCAAATATACGAAATATATATGTACATATTAGAATATTCTCATTTTTCATTCACTGAAAGAATATCAGAAATCGCATATAGTAGCTTTTCGTGTGGTCTGCGTGGTTAAATATGATCGTTTTAAATATTTGCAGCTTGTGTAGTCCAACGAAAGTCATTATCATAATTTTTCTTTCTTTCTTTTTTAGGAAACTGTTATTAGTTATTCGTCTGATTTGAATTAGTCTAGTATGGATTATTACCGCTTGTATTTATTATTATATACAAGTAAGAAATTACTCGTTGAAAATAGATTAGGACATAGATCAAAACTAAGACACGAAATAAATATTCTTGGTTCGTGTGAGAAGAGAAATTCGATACGCGGTATAAATTTTCTGTCGAGAGATAAAATTGGATTATTGGAAGATAAAATTGGATGTAGAAAATTTCAAAAATTTCTTCCGCTTGTTTATTCACGGTAAAAGAATTAAGACACGTGCCCGAGTTAAAATTAATTAACAATTTAGAAAACGTTTCATAGACTCGTTAAAACAGTACAATTCACTTTAGCCGTAGATATGCAAAATTAAGCATCGCCTGAAGCATAACTCGCTCAAATGTAAATTTGATTCGAAAGAGAAGTAACAATGAGCTGTAGTTGTAATGAGAAAATTCATTTGCAGATCGTCTCAATTTGTCGCCTCGAGTTGAATGAAAGATGTCTATGGTGTTACTAAGCCCATTACCCCTGATAAAAATCAACGTCTTTTGTTTTTCTTTTTACATAAGAAGTTTTACGTGTGAAATTAAAAAGTGTAACTGTCCTAAATATGTAAGAGTTAGTTACGTTATTATTGCGGATGTTATTTCCTATTGGATAGAATTCATATTTTTCACACCTTCTTGAGTTTAAACAAAAAAAGAAAAAAAAAATACCGAGAAAGATTGCATCTTTTGCACGTGATAATTATGTTTAAATGTTAAATTATGTTTAATATATCGAAACGAATATATATATAACTAGAGAATAATATTTCAATATGAGGAAAATTTCAGGAACAAAGAATATTTAAAAAATAGAAAACTTTGAGAATAAATCTAATATCTCGAGAATAAGGAACACTTCGACAAAGACCATTTCGGAAATAAGAAATATTTTAAAACAAGATTCGATCTTGAATCAATTTCGTGAATATGCAAATGGTTAATTGAATTCCATTTTTGGAATTGTCCCAACTCCCGAATTCCGATTTACGTGACATAAATCACAGATTTCGGCCGAGAAAAAGAATACTTCTCGATGCCTGAAGAAATTTTATTGCGTCGCCAATTAAAGATCGCTTTCTTTTTTAACGAATCCCAGATTAACATTGGAAGGACGGTTGTTCGGTTAATCTCTCGAACGTTCTTTTTTCTTTTTTCTTTCTTTCTTTCTTTCTTTCTTTCTTTCTTTCTTTCTTTTTTTTTGCGTATTTTCCGAAACACCTTTCACCAAAAAATGATCGTATTCTTATATACTTGGAGATTGAATTGGCAGAAGAATTTTTTAATTAATATGGAGGAGGATAAAATCGCGTTTTCGAAATATTCGAGAGATTAAAAAAGTATGAGACATTTTCTTTCTTTCGTGTACAAGTGAAAGAAAGAATGCGCTTGATTTAACGTTTAATTACGAAGAAAAATGTTCGTCGTATCGTGCGTATTATTCATATATTTTACGTTATAAAAATGTTTAACGAGTGAAAACACGATTTTGCTATTTATTACATTATTTATTTAACGTCTAATTTATTGCGTCTAATTTCTACTTTGCATATAAGGAAATATTTTAATTAAGAAGGAAATAAAATATCCTTCGTTCACTTTCTTTGTTTTCAATTTGAGCGTAGCAATACCGCATATAATTACATTCGATACTGTCTATCGCGAAAAATATATTATACCTATTACTACAATACTTTCTTTCATTTTCAAATTGAAGAATAAATTTCACCAAGTACTGTATAATTATATTCCTTTATATCGCGTATACAAGAATGTATTTATAATATCGTAAAACGAATCGTGTAAAAGTAAGACCGGTTGATTATATCGGATATACGATCTTTATCTATAAATTTTACAAGAAACTCACGAAAGAAAAACGGAATCGACGAATATCCGTATGTCCCGCTCCTAACTTGCTCCGCGCAAGGAGCGAGATCCGCGTTTATCTACGTGTTACTTATAGAATAGTCATGAACCCCGTAATTGCATCAATTACCCAGGCTTGCTTACCCGTTACCGGTTTAACCACCGTGGCAAGAAATCGATCGATTTATGTATTCTATATACGAACCGAATCGAGTTTTTAATCATTGCGATCGAAACGCAAAATGTTGTTTATTTAATTCGTGTAATAATTTGTTTCCTATCTATCGAGTGCCAGCCCTGCGTAGAATTTCGATCGATCGTAAAGAAATGTTTAACGGAAGGAAAAATCTTTATTTACGATCGAAATCTTCCGCGGATTTTCGCTTCGAGCGACAACGAACGATTGTTTCGTTGAAATGGCGCCACCGATATACCCTCCCTTTTGGAACAAAAGGAGCATCGATCATCGAGTCAAATTGTACTCGTTGATCATTGTTCATTGTTACCCCGCGAGAATTTTCTGAACCCGTTCTTTTATCGGATTCGTGCACGCGCGTACGCGCCTGTTTGATGTTCGTAAAGAGAACGGTAATATTTCATCGGAGTCAGAGGAAAATACGTTCAATGGGGAATTCAAAGTAATGTTGGCAATCGTTGGAAGGGGAATAATTCGATGTCTCATCCAGAATATTATGGAAACGCGCGTTGCCACGAAGATACGTCTGACAATGTTCTAAAACTCGTAGGGAAGAAATTTAATTTAAGAGGGAAAGAAGTCTCTTACTTTTATTCCAAGACAGGTTCAACGAGATTTGCGCGATGCCTTGTGAATATATAATCTCAGATCGTCGATTGTGTTGCAAAAGGAAAATAAATCGATGTAATTTGCGGAGACGACAGTTTACCGATAAATAAAACAAAGTAAAGGATGCTAAGTAAAGGATACAAAAATATCTTTTTTACACATGTATCGGAAAAAAACTTGATTCTTTCATTTCTTTACCAATTATTGTCGCCAAAAATAGAAAAACGATAATATCCATCTATATTTTTCTTTTACTTTTACAATTATTTAAAACAGGAAAATCCTCCGTTTCTACTATATATGAAAAAAAAAAAAAAACTAAAGTATCCAAGAAAATTTTATCTTACCCAACTTAATCTAAACCTGTCTCTAAGAAACAAAAATGCATTCCTCCACTCTTCCCAATTAAACTTCCTTTCCTTCTCTCGAAGGATTAAACGCGCTGATCGGTATCCATCGCAGCGATGCAAAACGGCTATCAGGTTATCTCGATCGTTGCTTCTGTTTCATAGAACGGTCCGATGGCCAGGTATCTCGAGCGTGCAACCTCCTCCACCCGTGAGAACAAAGGACATCCGTATTCGTGGAATTCTCTGCGGTGAGACACGAACGAAGGTAAGATTTTTCGGTGAAAGTCAAGCAAAATGATAAATATATATATGTATATACACACGCTACGATCTACTTCTCTAGATACTTACGCAGCCGTGTATACACGGTCAATGGCAACGCCTTTTCCTTTCTTCTCGACCCGCCACCGTTTCATCCGTCTTCCGGTTTGGAAAATTGCTCGACCAAGGACCAGTTTTTGGACCACGATACTTTTACCCGATTTCTTGCACGGTTCGTTACGATTTAGAAAATCTTTTTTTTTAAACCAACGTCTTCTTCGTGTCACTTTCGCTTCGAATCTCCCATTTGTCTCACTTTGATCCTTTTTCTATTTTTTTCTTCTTTTTTTTTTTTTTCACTCAAGATCGAAGGAGCGAAACGTAGAAATCGTTGGATGGATCTCTAAGCGAGGAAATTCTTGGCAGACTTTCACGTTGCATACTTCCGGCGAGCAGATAAGAATTTTCGTTCCGGTGCAATTTGAATATCTATTCGAGACGTCGAGATTCCTTGCTTCGTCTAATGAAACACTTCGATCTTTCCACATATATCAACTTTTCCGTTCGCGCCGATCTCTGGAATCGGGTCTCCCCACTCACAGGTTAACGATATATTTTTCATTTGAAAGAATATTCAATTTTTAAATAGTTTTTTTTATTTAATAATACGATGCGATGAATAATAATATCCGTTGACGGATACACTCTATTCTCTAGCATTGCGTAACATCGTAGCAGCGGGCAACAAAGGGGGCTCGTCGCTCCCCGAGCGATCCTCTCCGTACAATGTAATACTATAAGCGTGGCCGAGTAAAGGACACTGTGACTGGCCGACAAGCGTTTCGTCACAGTCCCCACAGCGTGCGATAAATCGTTCCCGTTACGACAAGGACACACAATGGGCAACGTGTTACACACGGTCCGCGTGCCACCAGCGAAGATAAATTAAAGATCGAGGCAAAAAGAGAGGAGGCAACGCAACCGAGCCAAGGTGGTTGGCTTCCGATCGAAAGGGAGCTCACTTCACCGTGAGACGATCCACCAGCAGACGACGACGTTCGACTTTTTTAGTACGTTTATCCAGTTAGGGCGACCTTTCTTTTCCTCCTTTTTCTTTCGATCGTTTAATTAATAAAAACAGGCCGAGTCGTCGTGGACTCGGGAGGGGAAAAGAGATCGGTTTCCTTTTTGCTCCAAATCGAAAGTTACCCAGGCCTGACCGGATTCCCCCCTAACGAATCGACGCGATTTACGGTGCATTCGGTGAATTTTGACGGGATGCGTAAATCTTGAGGATCTTGAATCGAGATTCGTTATGGTAAGGAGATTGATGCTCGAGGATCGGTTTCGAAACATCGATCGATCGCGATATCGTGGGTGGTTAATTGTATCGTGGATCTTTGATTGTCTTTTGTTCTTTCTTTTTTGAAAAATGTGTCGTGCGATGGCGTGATCGAGAGATTTCACTTTCGTTTTGGTGGAAAAATTGGAATTGTGTAATTTCGGTGACAAATTATATTTTCTTTTTCGTCGATCAGCGTGATTCGCTTGGACGTCGTATTTTTTCTTTTTTTATATTACTAATTAGTTTATTATTTCTGATTTTTCTTCCTCTTATCTTCTTTTCTTTCTTTTTTTTTTTTTTTTTTTAACGAGAAAAATAATTTCGCAAATGTGAAATTTTAAACGTGTGTCGTAATTGTGAATCGAGTACCGTGACAATATATATACCAACGAAATATTTAATATTTTATATCTTGTGCTTTTGGCTTTTCAATGGATTGAAAGATTGAGCTTGATATTATTCCCGATAGAGGATGTTTTTTTTTAAAATATTTTACATCCAATTTTATTTTACACATTCTAAAATTATTTTGTGAAAGTTAATATTAATAATTCCTCATAAATTCATAAAATTATATATATATACATATAGTTTCTAATCAATTTTTACATCAATATTCTTTTATTCTTGCATAAATTTGCGGCATTATAATTTTCAAGTAAAATATAAACTTTCTCAAAAAAAAAAAAAAAAAAAAAGAAACAATCTCAATTTTCTTCTCTTATTTATTACTTATTCTCCATTCTCCCGTATCCTTGTTACTAACCGATAGAAATCAACACAGGTAATTCTGAAAATTCACAATCTTCCCAAAGCAATATAACCACTTTTTACCAAATCTGGCAAAAGAAAAATCTAATAAAAATCTAATGATTATCATACAATAAGAAACATAACCAGCATAACAATAATAATCAACAACCAAATAATATCCTGTTTAGCAAACAAAATTAACTATAATAGTTACGGATCTTTCGTTATTTCACAAGAAACGCATACTTGCAGATAAAACCTCTGATAAAAATTAAACACCTCGTAAGATCTCCACTTTAGAAACAATAATTATACACAAATATATACTAATCTAATTATTCTCATCCAATTAAACAAATACATCCAATCTATATAAAATTAAATCTCTTTCGCAATTAAATTTCTTTCTCGAAAAATGTGAATCCGCGAATCCCAGTGAAAGTTTTCGGTCGCCAACGCTTATTCAATGCTCGCAACACACGTGAAAAAAAGGGGGCGAGAACGAGGCGCACGACTCGCGTTTCTTTTCTCCCTGTCCAGGCCAGGCCAGGCCAGGGCAGGAGGGGGAGAGACACCTGAGTACCGAACGAGTGCTCGAAAATCGTGCGACCGCTCGTGCGAGACGAATTCGCGACTAGAGAGGAGAACGGATGTGTGTGTGTGTGTATGTGTGTATGTGTGTATGTGCGCGCAACCAGAGAGAAGAGAGAGAATGCGAGCGCGACCGGTGCATTTTGTATCGGTCGTTGCATTTTCGCAGGTCATCTGCGATAATGACGGCGCGCGAGTCCCGCTAGGAAAAGGGAGCGTGCCACCTTTCGTTTTCATTGTCTTGGATCTTGGTTGGTTGGGTTCGACCTCGGCTATATACCGGATATACCACTGGATCGATGGTGGATAGGCGACCAGTCGGTTGTGTTGCTCGATCGACTGGGTCGGCTCGAGCTTAAAGCCACGTTTCTCGGAAATGTATGGGGAATTTCTTGAGGTTGCGTTGGAAACGGCGTTATTCTTGACGCGTTACGTTTATTTTAACTTTTATCGGGTTGTGAAACGACTTGACCAAAAGTAAGAAAGAATATATTTGATGAAGGAAATAAATTATGTTATAGCGATAAGTTATGGACGTGGATCGTGCCGATGCCTTTATTTTACTGAGCTGAGCTCCTTATGTCGCTGAAACAGACAAAATCGAATATATTTAATAAGGAAATAGGAATAAATTATTGTATGGATGTGGATCGATGCCTTTGTTCTACTGAGCTGTGTCGAAGAAACGGAATCGAGACAGCGATCCAATGTCACTCTATTCACGTATGAATATAATATAATATAATATAATATTTTGCATTTTTACACATATCAAAAATTTTCGTTGGGCTTTTAATTCTGTAATATAAATGTATAAAGAGAGAGCTTTCGAAGAACTTTCGATTTTCGTTATAAAAGTGACGATGTGAAGAGAGATTTTTGATTTTGTCCCGCAAGGGGGATTTCGACGGAGGTCTTGGGACTTGTTTGAATGCGAATATATCTTCTAATTGTCCATTTGCGAGAAGCACTCTCGAAAGTAGATTCATTCGTTCGTATGTGTCCCAAGTCCTCCTGTTTCGAATCCTTTGGGTGATGGCGTACCCACGGACCTGAGCCTATTTTTTTTTCTTCCAGATCTTGCAGAAAAATTTCTTCGCTTGTTATTTCGCGATTACTATTCGCATTTCAGGAAGCTACGCTTGTTTCTTTTTTTTTTTTTAATTGGAAAGAAAACGATATTGTTTATATGGACATTATAATCTGTCTATAATCCGTGCATAGAAATGATTAAGAACTGGTTGGTCCAGTGTCGAGCGGCTGGCTTATGCAATTTTCGAAGCTGATCGATAGGAAATTGTGCTCGATTTGCGTTCTAAGTTGACACACTGTGGCTGCAGCGTAAGACATTGTGAACGTTTATTTCCCCCTTTCAGTGGAAAGTTCAATTTCACGAGTTCAAGAAATTTGTTGCCCTCGCTTTAGAAATATCGTGTATCGTGAAAGTGAACGATATTTGATATCGTATCAAGAATTTTCGTGTGATCGTAATTATGTCGAAAGATTATTTGAATACGAAACGTATGAAACGGCCTGTATAGAATAGGTATGCAGATTTTTTCCACACACACGTGAAGTGGAAGTGGCAAGCTCGAGAAGATAAAAAGTTGAGGGCGCGAGGAAGGATGAAAGTGAAAGTTCTATTCGCGATTAGGTTCGCTCGCGGATCGATCGAGCTTCGTTAAAAATCGTTCGACAAGTTTTGAGTCAGGAGTTGCGTCATTTCATGGATCACGATCAAGGTGTAACGATTTTAAAAGCGATCGATCGATGGAAAAATACATTACATCAAATGTGCTCCTATGTTTCTGATAAATAGCTTTCGTGCATTTTATTTAAGTCGGTTTTAAGAAATCTAACGGCACCTCGGGAAAGGAATCAAAGATGCAAATTGATCGATGAATATTCGGAAAAATAAGGAATATGTTGTGCAATACACGCAAGTGTCGGTGTTACGTAAAACACTGATTAGTTAATCCGGATTGTGTGGAGAAAATGATGAATAAGGGATTACATATTAATGATGAAGTTTGACGAAGATTTAGATTCAATTTGAATGAAATTATACTTGCAAAATGCGCGAAAAAAGAGATAAGAAATATTTAAAGTTGATTAGTATTCGAAATTGATAATATTTTATTTCATTTTTTACATTTCATCGCGTTACACTCGTTGATTCGCCTCTAAAATAAGTATATCGTGCGATAAAAATCAGAAGAAACGCAACGTTACATTTGATACACATTTTCTTGTAAATGAACATTGATAAAAAAAAAAAGATGGGAGAAGATACGGATACGGATAGATGAAATCTTTCACAAATTCGTGAGAATCCTCTCGTGGCGTGTTGAATCAAACGTGTGTAATCCTTGATTAAATGGGACGAGATATATTTAACGAGAGATCTTAACTGATTAAACGAAGAATCATGCGCACACATATATTGCTCCACGATATTTTCTTTCGTGCTCCAACGTGATACGAAGTGTAATAATAATATAGCAACGTATATAAATCCATACACTTTTCAAAGAACTCGAAAACCACTTATTGTTCCTTATAACAATCGAATACGAAACCATATGACATGGAAAATATATATATATATATATCATGGCGAAGAAAGATAGAGAAACTTTACTCGCGAAATACGAATTTCATTTCCTTCGGGATAAAGAAGAAATAAAAGATAAAAGAAACGAGAAATATATTCGTAACCTCGAAGATATTTTATATCGAAGCGAATATATTAACTTGCATCGCGAAATGTAACAGAGATTCCACGAATCCCGGGGACAAACGAAAAAGTAGAAAGTGAAAAAGAAAGAAGGGAGAAAAAGGAGAAAGAAAAATATACAAGTCCTCTTTGGGTATCTTCGAGAAAAATTCCTAATCCGAATATATTATCTCTATATTGAAAGGATAAGCCTTTGGAATGCAGCGGAGAAATTCCGTAAATGTCTCCTTCCTTGTAGACGTGCAACAGACATTTTTTTTTTAATTACTCGTAAGATAGATTTTGTTCTCGCGAATCTGATTCTTCTTCTCCTTTTTTTTTTTTTTTTTTTTTTTTTTTTTTTTTAACGGAAACATTACGCCTAGGAACATTTTTTCGCCGATTTCTCAGACAGATGAGATGCTCAGAATCCTGGGAAATCAAAGCGTTCGGGTAAATGGCTTGCGTTGCCCGCCATCTAGATTAGACTTGGAGAAGGATTTCGAGATCGTCGTTTTAAAATCGTTTCGAGGGAGATTAATTAAAAAAAACTCGAGCGGTATATATTAGCCGGTAACAATGTAGAAATCGACCTGGATCGTGTTGATTATGTTATTTTTAATGGATACTAGGAGAAAATTAGTTGAATTAGCGTGGAGCGAGCTAGTTTTCTCCATCATTCAGATTTCACGTGGCCGATACATTTATATGATAAATCGCGTAATAAATTTTAAGCGAATATTTGATGTAAAAATGTAAGATGACAAGCATTGGGTTTGAAATATATTGCGTTTCCCAATTGTGATAAATAATGGTGTCGATATCGATCGCTCTTTTTCACGAACCAACTCGAGGAGAGAAAGAAGAAAGAATCGAAATAATAACTGGAATTTGGAACAATGGATTTACGAATCCGTACAGTTGAGGAAGAATATTGCAAAATAAATTGTGATTGTATAATTGAAATCGACACTTTCTAACTAGTTTAATTAACAGTTTCATAACTGTCTTTATTATTATTACTCTAA